CAGAATGATTAAGAGGCTCTCATTATATAGTGCAAAATGAAATATAATTGTTTGGTAATTGTGTACAATGAAATTAAGGCTCTTAATAGTTAAGGGAGATTCAGGACACAAAATCATTCAGAGGGTTTTAGAACCATTAATAGGCAGACTTTTCTTTTTTGCTAAACAAGATTCACATCTTAATGATTTAGAGGTTGTCTCTTAATAGAACTATTAAGAGGTAAACAAACAACCCCTAACTCTGAAGTATAACTCTGAAAAATAACTCAGAAGAATAACTCTGAAGAATAACTCTGAAGAATAACTTTGAAGAATAACTCTGAAGTATAACTCTGAAGAATAACTCTGAAGTATAACTCTGAAGAATAACTCTGAAGTATAACTCTGAAGAATAACTTTGAAATAAAACACCAATTTTTCGGAAATCAGTTACCACACGAATTAACCCAAGAATAAAATCAATTGCATCTTAAATTAGTGGGATTGATTGAATAAGAGGACACATGTCAATCAAATGAGTCTAGTGGAACTACTAATGTAAATTGTGTCTAGGTACGTTCAAATGAGTCCAATTGAACTGATAATGTAAATTGTCTAGATACGTTTTTTAAGCGGGAAAACAAAATAACCGCCTCACCAAAAGATGACACGTGTCACCCAAGTTACTTATTTTATATGTATAGATATATAAAGAAATAAATATATTTGGTTTTGATTTCAACCATGGTTATAGATTTCAAAGCATCCATCAGGCTTTTATACATCTATCATCTTCTTCCAAATGTTTCCACCAATGTGAAATGATGAAAATCAACTTTAATCAAGATTTGAAAAAGACTCAAATTTCATGTTTCCAAGTCATCCTTGGTTTCACTTTTAGTTTTGTACTATGATTTTTACCAGTTAGTTGGTTTTGTTTCCAACCATGGTTATAGATTTCAAAGAGGATCATCCAAAATAAGACAACACCCCATGAATTGACACAAAGACACTATCTATCTTTTATACATTTCTTTGTTCAAATTTTTTTGTTCAAAATTTTTAATTATTCACCAATGTGGAACAACTAAAACTCAACTTTAATCAAGATTTGAGGAAGACTCAAACCTCATATTGTCAAGTCATCCTTGGTTTCACTTTTAGTTTTGTACTATGTTTTTTATCATTTGGTTGGTTTTGATTCCAACCATGGTTATAGATTTCAAAAAGGATCATCCAAAATAAGACAACAAGCCATGAATTGACACAAAGGCATCATCCATCTTTTTATACACTTCACTTTGTTCAAATCTTTTAACTATTCACCAATGTGGAACAACTAAAACTCAACCACAAATTCACCATATGAGAATATTCAATTCTCATGGTGCCACCTCGATATCCCAAAGTTTTACATGATAAAAAAAATTGGGTGCATCTCAGTACATCTCATCCTAATGCGCATCCAAGGGTGAAGATTTATTCTTACGCTTCTCACCGGAACTCAACGCTCTAATCTACCCTTCATCGAGTATTCCCCTCAAGATTAAAAAGTCTTGGGAACATTTTTTTCTAAATGGGGGGAAGGGCTTGACCTGGGAAATGGAGAGTGGTCAAAAGCGACAAATTATAAATATGTTGAAGTTTTTCTTTTGTTGGTTAATTTTTTTTTTTTTCTTCTAAAAGTGATTGTAGTAGTTATGTTTGTATACCTTTTTTTAATGACTTTCATATTGAAGAATTTGGATCAACAATACAATTTTATGAAATTCGAAATTGTTGATCAAGCAAAGCTTTGACTAATTGATAGTCGCATGATCTTGTTGGATAATTTGAAGATTTATGTTGGGCATGACAATACGATTTATGAATTACAAATAGTAAAATTTACATTACACCACATTCTATTTTGTATTTCAAAATTTTCACTTATCTTTTAATTTTGATGAATTATTTTTTCAATTGTCATATAATTAAAAATATGCATGTATTGATGTAAATAAAAATATATATAGTTTTATATATTTGTGGATTCAAATTTTCTTTATAAAATAATGAAAATGAAGTTAAAAAAATAGGAAAATCAAAGGATTAACAATTAATGTGTTGATTGTATATTAAACATAAATTAAAATAATACGAAAAAAGATAAATAGAATAAAAAGTTTTTCGTTGTACAACCATTTGATTCTTCCTTTAATATATATATATATATATATAGGCCTAATCAAATGAGAATAATTAGTTTGTAGTAACTGTGAGAACCAATATTAACCACAAATCAATAGATAAATTAGGAAATTTATAATTTTGGCAATTTTGAATTAAAATATTAATGCAAGGATATTTTTGGTATTTTAAGACTTTCCTCCCTCCTCTCTTCTCTCTCCGGCCACCGTCCTCCGGAGATACTACAATGGTATCACAATGCATCATATATGTGCTTGGGGTATCACATTGATGTCGTTTGTGTGGTCGATCGAAGATGTAACACAGTGGTATCACTATGCATCTTATATATGATTAGATATCACAATGTATCTTTTTGTTTAACAAAGTCAATATTTTCAGGTATCACAGTGGTATCATAGTGGTATCACCGGAGGACGGTGGCCGGAGGCCGGAGAACGGTGGCCGGAGAGAGAAGAGAGGAGAGTTTTAAAATACCAAAAATATCATTGTATTAAGATTTTAATTTAAAATTACCAAATTTATAAATTTCCTAATTTATCTATTGATTTGTGGTTAATATTGGTTCTCACAGTTACCACAAACAACTCAGTTCTCCTTTGAATAGGCCCCTATATATATATATATATATAGATATAGATTAGCATTCTATGTGTAAAATAATTTTGAGAAAATGTTAAAATATCAAAATAAAGTTTACAATCTTTTTCTTTGAAAAAACCAAATGAATTAAAATTAACAAAACAAAAAGAATAAAACGGGAGTATGCAAGATGTAAAAACAAGGAACTAGAAAAGAAAAGGGAAAAGTCTAAAAATAATCCAATGAATTTTAGTGTTTGAAATAATTAAGTTTTTAGATAATTTTTTGGAACAAATAAGTCATTGGATATTCCAAAACTTGATAAATAACTCATTGAAGTTTCTAAAATTTGTTAGATTCATTTTTATAACCTATAAAACTGGTTAATATGGTAAAATAATTGAAAAAATATGAGAAAAAAGTCAATAAACTTTCATATTTTGAACGATTAAATTCCCAACATTTTTTTAACAAAAAAAAGTACTTACATTCTATATTTAAAAAATATTATTGATGAAATTTATTTTAATTAAAAATAAAAATATTATGTCAGTGATTTTCTAAATTAAATAAAATAAAAAAAGATTTAGAAAATGATTTTAATTTATTTTAATTAAACTTAAAATATATTCCGTATATGATTTCTTAAATTAAAAAAAAAATACTTAAAAATAATTACTAATAAAATTTATTTTAATTAAAAATAAAATATATTGCATTGGTGGTTTTTCAAATTAAAAAAATAGAAAATAATTTGATTAAATTACTGACAAATTAACGATAAAATTTAACTAAATACATAATTATTTAAAATTTCTCGCTAATCCGTCGATGAAATGATATCACCGACAAGATTCAAGCACGATATTTCACACTTATTAACATGTTACTGGTTGGAGCGCCTGATGATATCACCGATAAGATTGCACGATCTTTCACACTTATTAACTTGTTACTGTGTTAAAGCGTCTGATGGTGGTCAAATTTGCTATCAATTAGATATAAGTAATACATACATATATATTAATAAACACTAGTGACGAATTTTAATTAATTATGTATTTAGTTAAATTTCATCGTTAATCTATCGGTAATTTAATCAAATTATTTTTTATTTAGAAAATCAGCAACGGAATACATATTATTTTTAATTAAAATAAATTTCAACAATAATACTTTTTAAATATTTTTATTTTTTTTAATATAAAAAATCACATATGGAATATATTTTATTTTTAATTAAAATAAATTTAATCATTAATCATTTTTAAATCCTTTTTTATTTTGAACAATCTCTGACAAAATATATTTTATTTTTAATTAAAATAAATTTCATCCATAATTTTTTTATATGTAAGTATCTTTTTGGTATATTTGTTTCATTTTATAAATTTAAGTATTTTTTGTTCAAAAAATGTTTAGGGACTTAATCGTTCAGAATATGAAAGTCCATTGCCCATTTTTCAGATTTTTTTTCATTATTTTTTTCACATTAACTAGTTGTATAAGTCATAAGGATGTATCTAACAGATTTTAGAAAGTCTAAGGAATTATTTAACATGTTTTGGAATGTTTAAGGACTTATTTGTTTAAAAAAATTGTCCAATAACTTAATCATTCCAAACATTAAAGCTCATTGGTGTTTTTTTTTTAGACTTTTCTCCAAAGAAAAAAACAATAACTAAAACCAAACAAAGTTGAACACAAAAAAAGGAAGGAAAAGGACGACCAAACAAACAACTAAAAAAGCAACAACGATCAATAGTAATTTGGCGAAAAACTTACACCTCTAAATATTAGGGATTGAATTTCATGCAGAAGGTCTCAAAAAAGACGTCTTTGATGTTTGAACACACGAGAATTCCAGTTCCTCCAAAGGGAGTATACGACAATCGAAATAACAACTTTCCAAAATATTTTTGATGGAGCCATAAGTTGATTGTAGTAGTCATCGAAAAGAATCAACTTTGATTTGTAGATGGTAAACTACAATAAAAAATCTACCAATTGAAGATGTTGACAAAGAAGGTAGTGGTCTATGGATTCATTGAACCCATCATACATCATAATATCGAGAATTTATAGTTGATTGTTTTATTTACCGTATTAAAAATTTTGATTTCAAAAACCGTAATGATTAATAAATATCTATATATATATATATATAGAGAGAGAGAGAGAGAGAGAAACAACACAAATAAGTATTTTAAGATCCTACACATTCATTCTCTTCCCGGTTAAGAAACTCAGAACACATGGATTTTTCATTGATAGCCTTAAAAAAAGAAAGAAAAAAGAAAAAAAAAAAAAGAATACTTCTATACCAATCCCCACCACTTAGAAAAAGAAGATCTATTAACATTCAACTGGTACACTTTTGTGCCGGAGGTTTACCACCACCATTAACCACCACTCTACCACCATCTTCCGGCGACTTCCTCTTCGGCTTGGCTTCTTGTAGCATCGACACCACATCTCTCATCGAAGGCCGGTCCGGCGGGTTTCTACTTGTACATAGCAATGCTACCTTCAATATAACCTTCATTTCCTCTCTCACCCGACTACAAGCACCACCTGCATTTTGATCCAACACTTCGTTTGTCCCTTCTTTGGTCTTGATTTTCGACCGCACCCAATCCACAATGCTGTTACCATCCCCAAATTCAGACTCCACCGATCTCCTACCACTAATCAATTCCATTAAAACGACCCCAAAACTGTATATATCACTTTTCTCATCAACTTGTAGAGTGTATGCATATTCTGTACAAAATCAAACACACTATTAATTTTCTAGAAAAATAGAATTATGAAGATAAAAATGCAAATCAAGGTAGGAAGAACATACCGGGGGCAATGTAGCCATAGGACCCTGCAATCACCGACATTGATTCATTGCATTCGATGAGCTTGGCGACCCCAAAATCCGCCACCCTCGCTTCCATCTCTCCATCCAATAGAATATTGCTTGGCTTCAGATCACGGTGGACAACCACCGGATCGCAGTCGTGATGGAGGTAGCAGATCCCCTGCGCCACCCCTAACGCAATCTTGTACCTCGTGAGCCAATCAGCGATCAAATTGTCACCTTTGTTGGTCCCATGTAACAGATCATCTAAACTCCCATTTGGCATGTACTCATAGAGGAGCATGGTAGACTCCCTGTTGTTGCAACACCCTAACAATCTCACTATATTCCTGTGTCTCACGTTACCCAACACCTCCACCTCAGCCAACACGCCTTTCCTCCATCTGATCGTCTCCTTATGCTTTCCACGCAGCTTCTTAACGGCTATGATCTCGCCACCTGGCATCTCTGTCTTGTAAACGGTTCCAGCGGAACCTGTCCCTATGATCTTACCGGTCATCGATAAACAATCGGCCACGTCATCAGCCGTGAAGTTCAAGCGTTGGAAGGCGGTTAGTTTCCACGGCCCGATTTCCTTTTCTTCCACAATGAACCGTCGTTGGTAGTTTGCACGGAAGCACCGGATTCCGGCGACGAGGATGAAGAGACCTATACCAAATGCTGCAGCCATTATCCACAGGATTGCTCCGGCGGTCTTTTTTGGATGTTGTGGTTTTACCTCGTTTTCTTTTTCCGTGCTGCAGGGTTTACGAAGGACTCCGCCGCAGAGGCCTTCGTTTCCGTTGAACGACGACGGATGAAGGCTTGAAAACGCAATTCCCGTGGAAGGCACCGGTCCGGTTAGCTGATTATATGAAACATTGAAGCCTTCTAACGTACTGCAATTACCGAAAGAAGAAGGAATGGTACCAGAAAGAAGGTTATGTGATAGATCAACCTCGGTTATCGAAGGAAGAGAGGAGATTTCCCATGGTATGATGCCAGAAATTGAATTACGTCGTAAGTTCAGTGAAATTAACTTCAGGCAGTGATCGATATCCCAAGGAAGGCTACCGCTCAATTCGTTCCCTTCGATTTCGATCTTGTAGATGTTTTTACAGTCCCTGAAGTTGGGAATTTTACCTCTAAGTTGACTATAACTTGCCGAAAATATCTGTAAACTCGGAGCGCTCCAGATATTTTCCGGCAACAGATCGTCGAACGAATTTTCCGATACATTTAGTAACTCTAACTGAACTGCATTGAATAAATCCGCCGGAAATGGTCCAGAGAAATTGTTCGCGCTCATGTCCATGTAAGTAATGTTAGGCGAACTTCCAAAGCCGGCAGGGATTGATCCGTTGAATCTGTTATCTTGGATGCGAAACCTGTACAACGATGTGCAATTTGCTAGAGACGGTGGAAGAGCGCCGGAAAACTTGTTTGAAAAGAGAAGTAATCTTCCTAGATTGTTGCCATGACACAGATTCGGTGGAAGTGGACCGGAGAGAGAGTTTGATGAGACGTCGAGTTTCTGTAACCTTGAATTCAACCCTAACTTTTGTGGCAGAATTCCTGTGAGAGAATTGTTCCAGAGAAACAGAAATTCGAGCCTCGGAAGCTCACCAATTCCTTCTGGAACGATTCCGGTGAATTTATTGTTCATTAGACTCAATTGCGTAAGATTCTTGAGTGATGAAATTTCCTCCGGTATGCTCCCTGAAAAGTTGTTATTGGACAAATCTAGAATCTCGACGGATTGCAGCTTGCCGATAGCTGCCGGAATTTCACCGTGAAAATTATTTTTGAAAATTAGCAATGTTTTCAGCTTCGTCATGTTCGTAACAGCAATCGGAAATTCGCCAGAAAGACCAGCATTAGAAATGTCGAGCAATGACAAATTGGATAAAGAAGCAAACTTCATCGGAACTATGCCTGTGAATGCATTGTATCCAATTTCTAAATGCTGGAGCGACGTTAGAAGACCTAACTCATCTGGAATTTGACCACTGAGATTGTTTCCAGCGAGGTATAAGAACTTTAACCGTTGAAACCTGCCATAACACTTAGGAACTTCACCTTCGAAGTAGCTTCCACCGAGATTAAGGTGCTCTAGAAACCTCAACCGAACAAACTCCGTTGGCAATTGCCCAGTGAAGCTGTTACTATAAGCACCAAAGTATGAAAGACACTTCAATTTGGAAATACCCGGTGGAAACGCTGAACTGAAAAGGTTATGATTGATATCAAGAGTCTGAAGAAAAGGCAGGTTGAAGATTGCCGTCGGGAGAGTTCCGGCGAATTGGTTCACACTTATATTCAAATGACGTAAGCTGGTCAAGTATTCGATTTCTGCCGGAATCGTGCCTGAAAGATTCCGATTAGAGATGTCCAATGAATTAATCTGGTAGGTTTCGGGGTCGCATTTGACACCGGACCAGGAACACCAAACGGGTTGTTGTCCAGGTTTGGATGTCTCCCAGTCATGGAACGTATCGAGAGGGTCTACAAGAGATGATTTTAGAGAAAGAAGTGAAACAAGCTGTGAAGGAAGAGCATCGGCGGAGAGTAAGCGGAAGAAGAAGAAGAAGAGGAGGAGGAGAAGGAGAGGGCGGCGACAATGGTGGTTCATGGTTAATGAAATGGAGATGGTGATTTAGGTGAGAAAAGGTAGTAAATTTAAGGGAAGGTGTTGGTTGTTGCTTTTTAGGAGTGGTGGCAGAGGATGTTTCATGATGATTGTTCTGTAGAGTGGGGTTCGTTTTGTGTGAAGAGGGAAGCAGAAGCAGATGAAGCCACGCTCTCCCACCGGTAAGTCTTCTTTGCTTCCCACTCCCATGCACTTTTCTTCCTCCACTTTTGTTTTGTTATTCTTATAAATATTTTAGATATAATTTTTATAGATAAATATATCCATATAAATTAATTATTAATTATTAAAATAAGCTACAAATGTTAACAAAATAAACATAGTATTTAATAAATAATTAAATTACTTAAATGCCTTCTATATCAGTAAAGAATTAATACTTTCTAAACAAATAGAAATAAGTGATAAATGAACGAATGGGTGGAACAAGTTGAAAACAAATATAATTTAAATCAACTAATTTTTATATGTATACTTAAAATTGGTGTTTCTCAAATCAATTTTAATTTATGTTTTTGTTTTTAGTTTTAATTTTGTATAGTGAGTGTAATGGGGGGGAATCCGGAGAGGATGTCCCAAAGTGCAAGCAATGGCATAGAGAATATGAGAAACATGAGTCTTGTCTTATAGAATGTAACCGTCTCACAATTCATGTGCGCTTTTTATTCCTCTCATTTTACAAATATTGCATCAGTTTTTTTGTCTTTTTCTTACCTTAAATTCCGCACGTACACGATATATCTCATTTGCTTCAAATTACTTTTTTTTTTATTAAAAAATATATTTATTTTTGGAAATAAAAATATTATATATTTTTGGAAGTAAAATGTTACTTTTTTCAGCCATGAAATTCCAAACTTTTTTTTTATTTTTTCTTCTATTTATGTATATTTATCATTTAATACTGTTTAATTATAGTTATCAACTTGTTTTTGGAGATGAGTCGGGAATAATCGATAATCCCAATTCTCATCCTAGCCTTGATCGGGAATAAATTTTCATCCCTATCTATACTATATTATAAAATATTTGATAAAAAATCTTAAACATTATTTTTTATTCATAAACTATTGTTTATTAATTTATATTACTTAAAATTCAGGATTACAAGTAAATTATGTATAAATACAACTTACTAAACCTCCATTTTAAATTCGTGTAACTAACTGCAGATAAACATAATCATATACAAGGTAAACATTACATTTTAAATATAAAAAATCTAAAATATAATTAAGATAATCGTTGAGTTCTAATAAAATTATTAATTTTTATTTTTAAAAAGAATTATATTATCTATACTATATTATAAAGTATTTGACAAAAACTCTTAAAAATCATTTTTTATGCATAAAGTACTGTATATTGATGCATATTACTTAAAATTCAATATTACAAGTAWATTATGCATTAAGTATAACTTATTAAAGCTCAATGTTTGAATTCGTGTAACTAACTACGGATAAACATAATCAAATAAAGGATAAACATCTCATTTTAAAATCTAAAATATAATTAGGATAATTATCGAGTTTCTAACCGAATGTTTAATTATTATAATTAAAAAAATTATATTATTAAACCAAAAATAAATTACTTTGTTATTATACCTAAATTAAATTATATAATAAAAAATTGAAATAAAGAAGTTACAACAAAAAAACGAAAACTATTAAATAATTGATTTAATATTAATATCGATTTTTTTATGTTATCTTTAAATTTATATTTTATTCAAAAATAAAAAGTTTATCGCTTTCTCAAAACCACATAAAATTATATTGCATCGATAGAGACAAATAATAAAAATTAAACATTAAAATGGAGATTTATCTCGCTGCATTATGCGAGTACCCTTCTAGTTAAATCAAAAGTTATTCTTCTAATACAATACTTAATTATTATATATATAAAAAATATATTATTATTCAAAAATAAATACATTATCATTTTCTCAAAAAAACATATAAAATTGTATTATATCAATAGACAAATAATAAAAAAGAAACAAATAAAATCGATATGTATCTTGCTGCATTGTACAAGTTCTCATCTAGTCCCTATTAAGGAATGACTAGGGAATCGAGGATTTTTTCTCCATTTACAAAGTTTATTTTTTATATGATATCCTTATTGTTAAAACTTTATACATCCAAATTGTTATATCGTCAGAAGTTTCTCCACGGGCTATCAAACCAATAAAAGTTTTTATTATTAAATATGCATGGTTGGGGTTGAAGGGTGTCCCCATCCCTGATCAACACAACAATTTCACGGTCAAACCGAGTTTAAATCTCCGGTTCCTCGTTGGAATGCTAGTTTTTTTTTTGTCATTCATAATTGGTTTTGTTCCTCTTATTAAATATGTATTTTATGAATGAAATGTTGTATATTTACGTAAAGAAATCAGTAAATTTTTTAAATAATGTTACAATTATTTTAAAGTAGATAAAAACAAAACTTTATAGAGTTTATTTGAAAGTATAAAGTGTGCATTCCTTCTTGTAATGCAAAATTTTATATCATATATTTAGTAGTTAGAGTGGTTTATGAAATATTTGGAGAGTTTAAAGTTAAATTTATTTGTTGGTTTTATTATTCATACTAAAATCCTATATAAAATTAGATGTCAATATGTTTTTGGGAATTAATTGGTTATATATTTGTATATTTGCACAAACTACATGTATAAACACAAGATACAGATGGTTACATTTTAGGTATCATCATGTACTAGAATTACAAATCCTTAAATTTTATGAGTATATTGTATTTGAAATTTTAATGTAAAAATATAAATAAAACATTTAAAAATGTAATGAGTTGTTGATCATTGTCATCTTTAATGCAACGAGTATATGTGGCTTTTTCATTTCAAATGAATGAGATAGATTTTAACCGATAGAGATGATATAATATCAAGTCAAAAAAACAAAACTAGTCTCATCAAGGTCATAAAAGTACTTGTTTAATTGCTAATTTCAAGGTTATATAAGATTAGTTGATAAACGCTCAAATTAATATGGACACATGTCCAGTAGTTACAAAAAAATTAAAGAGTTCCTAAAAATCACCTATCCTACTATTGCTTTCACTAAACAAAGTTATGTTTGGCGAATTAGTTGATAAACTAATTGATGGTTGATAAGCTAGCTGATAGTTGATAAGATGACTGATGAACAAATTATGTTAGCAAACTAGTTGATAAGCTAGTTGATGGTTGATAAGTTAACTGATTATTGATAAGTTAGCTATAAGCTGATAAGCTAGCTGATAATTGATAAGTTGACTGATGAACAAATTATGTTTAGCAAAAACTAGCTTATAAGCATGCAAAATTACCAAAAAATGTATCTAGGAAAAATAGTCAATTACAAATATTTCATAATATAATTCAAATAAATTTCTAATAATACAATATGTTGATTAATATAAACAAGATTATAAACCAAAATTAAATAATACAACATGTTAATTGAAAGAATTTAAA